CGTCTACGTAGCGTATATAAAGCGAAACCTGATTCCACGAAAAAATATAAATTAAAATCAATTATAAATCAATAAAATGCCAATGGGCCATCACTGGCGGTTGGCAATGAACCGGCAGTGTTGTCTTGCTCAACACTGTCGGTTTGAACCATGAACCGACAGTGTTATCTTTCTCAACACTGCCATCTTGAGCTATGAACCGACAGTGTTGTCTTGCTCAATACTGCCGGCTTGAGCCTGAACCGACAGTGTTGTCTTGCTCAACACTATCGGCTTATGCCATGAACCGACAGTGTTGGATTGCTCAACACTACCGGCTTGAGTCATGAACCGACAGTGTTGTCTTGCTCAACACTGCCGGCTTGAGCCATGAACCGACAATGTAGGCTTGCTCAACACTGTTGGCTTGAGCTAAGAACCGACACTCTTGAAGCAAACATCACTGTCAGTTGGGACTACAAACCGGCTGTGTTGTTCAACTAGACACTGTCGGGTGGAGTCAGGAACCGACACTGTTTCCTATAGATCAGTGTCGGTTTTACAGTGATGTCAAACCCCCATCACTGCCGGTATGCCACTGTCAGTTCAAAATCCGGCAGTGAAGGGGTTTTTTGAACCGGTAGTGATGTCTAGATCTAGGGTAGTGCGTGGTGGGCACTGGGCACTTACTGCTGCCGCTGCCGCCGCTGCAGCGGCAATTGGTCCCACCTCTCGTACGCGGTAGGCACGCACAATTATTCGGCCATCTGAAGATGCATGCAGCGGCAACGAGCGAGTACATCTTGGCTAGCTAGATCAATCGATGGCCAAATAATTGCGCAAGGGAGCAGCCGACACATGGATGGCGAGAAAAAGTTGGAGCAGGCAACAAACCTTAGGTTGAGCGAGCTCATCATCATCTGCCTTTCCACACCTCGCTTTTGATCGAGCCTATTCAGACGCAGCACCTGCTTTTCATAGCTACTATTAGGCAGGGCGAGAATGTACCGTGGCAAATCAACTGACAGACGCAGATCATTTACGTGTGTGGGGTTGTCCAGCTAAGACTAAAGTCTTTAACCCAAACATAGGGAAGCTAAACTCTAAGACAGTTAGTTGCCATTTCATTGGCTATCCCGAAAATTCAAAAGGTTATCGCTTCTATTGTCCTGACAGACATACGAAGTTTGTAGAAACAAGACATGTTGTGTTCTTGGAGGAAGAGTTGATCAGGGAGAGCATGGTAGTGCGAGAAATTAACCAAGAGGAGAAGCGGGTACATGTGCCTACTCCGATGGTTCAGGAGCCATTCTTCATGCTATCTATTGCTGCTGCACCAACAGTGCAAGACACTGTAGTAACAGCACCTGTTGTTAGTTCTCCGTGGCGACAATGAATGAACATGAGGAACCTATCCTTTAGGATCCTGTAGAACCCGTTGTCACACATGAGGAAGAGTAACAACAGCCTCATATAGAACAAGCGTCAACTAACGAGGCCCCTAGAAGGTCTCAAAGAGTCAGGAAACCAACCATTCCTGGTAACTAGGAAGTCTATAAATGTGAAGAATTTTAAATGGAGGGTGATCCCACCTCATTTGAAGAAGCCATGAGAAGCGCTCACTCATCAAAGTGGCTTGAAGCCATGCAAGATGAAATAAGATCATTGAATACCAATGGTGTTTGGGACTTAGAAACAATTCCTAAAGCAAACAAAGACAGTAGGCTATAAATGGGTCTACAAAACTAAATATGACTCTGAAGGGAATATAGAAAGATTTAAAGCGCGACTTGTAGCGAAAGGCTTCACACAAAGAGAATGCATAGATTACAATGAGACATTTTCTCTAGTCTCATTCATGTAAGGATCCCTTTAGAATTATAATGGCGCTGGTAGCACATTAAGATTTAGAATTTACATCAGATGGATGTAAAGACGGTGTTTCTAAACAGGGATTTGGAGGAAAATATTTACATGGCACAACCAAAAAGTTTTATTGTGGAAGAAAAAGAACGTATGGGATACTGCCTGAAGAAATCCATTTACAGATTAAAACAAGCATCAAGACAGTGTTATTTAAAGTTTGATAGTACAATAAAAAAGTTTAGGTTCTAAAAAAATATAGAGGACAATTGTGTTTATGTAAAGTTCAAGAATAGGAAATACATTTTCCTAATGTTGTATGTGGATGACATCTTACTCGCTAGTAGTGATGTTAATCTACTACTAGAAACGAAAAAGTTCTTGTCATTGAATTTTGATATGAAGGATCTCGGTGAAGTTTCGTTCGTTCTAGGAATAGAGATTCATCGAGATAGAAAAAATGGGGTTTTAGGATTATCATAAAAGACATATTTAGAAAATGTTCTAAAGAAATACATTATGCAAAATTATAAGCCTTCACCTGCTCCCATAGTCAAGGACGATAGATTTGGAGAATTCTAATGTCCTAGGAACCAATATAAGATCGATCAAATGAAAGCGGTTCCATATGCTTCACCTGTCGGAAGTTTACAGTATGCTCAAGTGTGTACACGCCTTGACTTAGCGTTTGTTACCAGGTTACTTGGCAGATATCAGAGTAATCCAGGAATAAAACACTAGAGCCTGGTAAAGAAAGTTATGCGTTACTTGTAAGGCACAAAAGGTCACATGCTAACGTACAGAAGTCTGATTTCCTACACATAGAGAGATATTCAGATTCAGATTATGTGGGAGATGATAGAAAGTCCACGTGAGGATATATATATTTACTCTCGCAGGAGGAGCTATATCGTGGAAAAGCTCTAAGCAAACCGTCACTACATCTCTTACGATGTATGCCGAATTTATAGCATGTTATGAGGCCATAGGGCAGGTGAATTGGCTGAAGAAATTCATGCCCGGGTTGAAAGTGGTAGACGACATACATAAGCCACTCAAGTTATACTACGATAATAATCCAGCAGTATGTTATGCTCACAACAATAAGTCAAGTAGTGCTTCCAAACATATTGACATAAAGTATTATGTTATGAAAGACAAAATCCGGGATCATATAATTAGTCTTGAGCACATAAGTACAGAAAAGATGCTATGATTCTTACCACCCAACATGTTCATAGAACACTTAGCCGGCACGGGTTTAAAGAAAAGCCTATGATTCTTAGACAATAATGGCCTAGTTGAGAATCTGTTTCAAAATAGAGAGGGGTATTGTAGCTGTTAATCTAATGGCACTGACCGTGATGATAAGGCATGTTCTATGCGCTGATCTGTGATGGAATGAGAAAAAGATAAAGTAAGTTAAGTTTAACCAATAAGATGAGATCAAGGGAGAGATTGTTAGTGTTGATCTCTCCAGCTTGGCCCAACGGCCAAGTTGGGCCTTGACCTCGCGCCCTGATCGGGGACGCCCAACCCTACATGGTTGGTAGGCCCCGTCGCACTGCGCTATAAAGAGAGGTGGGGGGCAGGCGGCTCTTAGTACGAGGTTCACTGTGAGCCGTCACACCCACCGACAAAACCTAACCCAATCTAGTGAGGGGCGCAGCCAGCGACGGGAAGCACCATCACCGAGACGTCGTCGTTGTTGGACCACTTCACCGCTACACCGCCACTGGAGCTCCACCTCTTCACCGCCCTCTCTACCGACGCGATGGACGGTTCTAGCTCTACCAAGCCCTCCAATGGTTGGTACCTCTGCTCCACTCTTCCTCTTGGATCTCGTAGTCCATGTTATAGGGCATGTTTATCCTATTCTAGTCAAGTCAGCACCACTAGATCTACATCTAATGATCCTGTAATTTCAACAATGTTCTGATCTGACAGCCAGCACTAGTAGAGGTTTATATACTCCTAATCAGAAGGAGAGGATCTTATGAGTTATGACGATGGGCAAATCCGTTGAGCAAAGCTTTATCCGGTTGTATGTACGCAGTACACGCGCGTACGGTACCAACCTTTTTCGCGTCGACATGGAACCATGTGTCCATGTGTCCATGTGAGACGGACGGAGGCCACGGCCACAGGTCCTGTTCGGCTGGCTAGAAAAATGGTTAATATTGATGCTGTTGCTAATTTATTGTAAAAAAATACTATTATTTCGCGACCGATAAGTTCAGTGCGGTGGCCTAAACATGCAGTTATTAATGCCTGCGCCCAGCAGGAGTGCTCGACTGCTCGTGCTGTGTCATTGCTTCCTGTCGGCTACCACAGGCGGGCCTGTTTAGTTCTAAAAATTTTCACCCCAAAATGTTACATCGAATCTTGCGGCACATGTATGGAGTACTAAATGTAGATGAAAAAAAAACTAATTACACAGTTAGGTGAGAAATCACGAGACAAAACTTTCAAACCTAATTAGTCCATAATTAGACACTAATTGTCAAATACAAACGAATATGCTACACTAGCAAAAACCAAAAAATTTGGTCATCTAAACGCGGCCTGACCGCGGCCTGACCCAAGGAGGAATGAGCTCACTGCTCACGAGCCAGATGGGTACCTGTAAACAGTTGTAAAATGTCTAGTAGAGCAGTGAAAGTTCGGCTCATTCCTTCAGCCGATGCGATGGCATTCAGCCTCGAGACTGTGCAGCGGTGCTCATTCGCTATCTCTGTCAAGGGGTCTTCGCATATTCTTCCAACGAGGATATTGTCAGGATTCAGATCACAAGGAACATTTTCATCCCTGTTCACAAAGCCATAGCACACACTGCCAAACCGGCCGCCTCCCTACACGCTACAGCAACGTCTACTGCTGCGCTTTTATTGGTCTTCACTTCACTTCACTTCACCGAGAGATGGACGACCACCTGGTTACTACTACCCTTACATGCCATGCATCATGCAACTCTCTGCTCTCTATTCTACAGCAAATGTGAAGAAGAAAAGGGTCCATGCCAATACACCATGCACGAAACAGCACCTAGTTATTACGAGCTAAAAACAAAATCTACAAAGGCTGTACAGACGAACAACACCTTGCTGCGTCGATCATATGGCCACCTGGTTGGTCTGATCGGTTTGATGGCGGAACTGTCAGAACGAGTCGGACAGGAGCCAAGTCTCGAACGCCTCAAACTCGTGTTCGTCCGGGGTGCAGGTCGCAGCAACAGCCTGCGGCTCGGCGGCCTGCTGCAGCTCCGCGCTGTGGTCGTTATGCTCCGGCCCGCCCCATAGATGGGCTGCGAAGCCATCCCAGTCCATGTCCATGTCGAACAGGTCGTCCACCTGGGCCTCACCGCCGACCGCGTCAAATCCTTCCAGAGCTGCGTCTGTAGACGACATCAGGGCGTCTATCTCACTCTCGGCCTCCCAGAGGTCCCCGAGCTCAATGGGGTCCAGCACCCACGGCCCAGTTGCGTCCTCGGTGAAGGGCCCCTCGGCCGTGCTGCCACTGCTGCTGTTGGGCTGGTTCGGATCCGGGTCCACCACGGCGCAGCCCAACGCAACAGCAGCCTGCGGCTCAGCGGCCAGCTGCAGCTGCGCTCTCTGGTCGTTCTGCTCCGGCCCGCCCCACAGATGGGCTGCGAAGCCATCCCAGTCCATGTCGAATAGGTCGTCCACCTGGGCCTCACCGATCACCGCGTCAAATTCCAATCCTTCGGTGGTAACCGTGGAATCGTGGCCAGCCCCGATAGACATCAGGGCGTCTATATCGCTCTCGGCCTCCCAGAGGTCCGGAAGCTCTATCGGGTTCAGCACCCACGGCCTGGTCGCGTCGTCGCTGCAGGGCCCCTCGGATCCGGATCCGGATCGCGCCCCGTCGCTGTGCGCCGCCAACGTCGCGGCGGTGGCCGGGCTGGACGCGCCTTTCGCGTCGCCGGACTCCGGTTCGGGCTCAGGGTCCGGCTGATTGCTCTTGGTCGTGCTGCTGCTGGTGGCGCTCTTCGGCGACCGGCCCGGGGTCCTGTCGCCGCGCCGCTTGTCGTCGCTGCGCAGCTTGCTCATGTCGATGGTGACGGTGGCCGGGCTGGACGCGCCTTTCGCGTCGCCGGACTCCGGTTCAGGCTCAGGGTCCGGCTGCTTACTCTTGCTCTTTCTGCTGCTGGTGGTGGCGCTCCTCGGCGACCGGCCCGGGGTCCTGCCGCCGCGCCGCTTGTCGGCGCTGTGCAGCTTGCTCGTGTCGATGGTGATGGTGTTGTCCGGCCCGGCGGTGTATTTCCGGCGGTACGTGTGGATCTGCCGGCTGAGGTGCGAGTTCCAGTGGTTCTTGATCTCGTTGTCTGTTCGGCCGGGGAGGTGGCTGGCGATCAGGGACCACCTGAATGCAGGCATCGGAGCAAATACGTAAATCGCAAGGACGATGCTGAGTGATCACTACTTGTTGGGCACTTGGCGGCTCCGTATTACACGGCACAGCAAAAAACGACAACCGAAATACTGCACGCGAAACGAAGGCGACATTTGGCTAATGATGATTTTATGCTAAAATGTCGTAAGAAGAAAACACTGGGCGTCAGTTTCACTGGCTGGCTAGAGTGCGTGGCGTCGTGTTTCTTAGTCCCAAAAAAGCAGTAACTTCAGATAGCGTGTGTGTGCATGCGTACGTGCGTGTGTACATACACCTTTGCCCTGGTAAGAAGGAAAAACTGTACGTACGCGTGCTGACTGGACTCCTGTCCACGTGCATAGTAAAATAGATAAATAAAAAAGTCAAAACGATTTATAATTTAAAATGAAGAGAGTAGAGCTAGGACACTGAACTAGCTCAATCGTCCGTTAATAGTATTTTAAAATAGTGTTCTTTCTTTGAAAGAATTTTGTGTATTGTACCAGGAAAAGATATAGCTACATTAGAGCATCTCCAAGAGATTAGCCAAATCATTTTATAAAGATAAATTTGTTTATTATTAATGAAAAAATGTCTCCAACAGACTCTATAAATGACTCTTCAAATTTAGTAGCTCTCCATCCCACCACATTGGCTCTCTACTTTTGGATAGTTTACCTCACTAGCTAAATTTTACAGAGTCTGTTGGAGTACTCTAATATGGTTTTGTCAAATCTATTTTAAAGAGTAGCTAAATCAGTAAATTTGGCTAGTCTTTTTGGCTAATCTTTTGGAGATGCTCTAAATATTATTGTTCGTATTGGTTGTCCAAAATTTACAACACATTAAATCAGTTTAGTAAAATCTGTTGTTAAGAAATATCTTTGATATTGTATTTATATATTTGGTATTATAAATACTATTACATGTATATTTTCCTACATGTTCAGTCAAAATCAAAGAAGATTCTTGAAAAAAAATGTTAAACAAATTTGATGTAGCAAATTTTTTTGCATTCTATATGTCGGGGACCTAATACCGGGGTACCTAATGAGGTGGAACTAATGACCATCGAACGTTGACACTTCCGATCAGACGGGAACGCTACTGCGTTTTTCGTCCGAACGACGAAAGACTAGTTCCGCCTCACCCGACCCCCGAGGGCTAGGCTCCGCCTCGCCCGACCTCCGAGGGCTGGCTCCGCCACTTGTAGAGAAATAGGTTGTAGTCCCGGTTGGGAACTGGCTTTAGTCCCGATTTCCCAACCGGGACTACGAATCCGGGGCTAAAGGTCCTAGCCTTTAGTTCCGGTCACATAACCGAGACTAAAGGTCCAACCTCAGGAGAAAAATAAACCAAATTATAGAGATACCTCTCTTGCGATGTGTGACATTCGAACCCAGAACCTCTTTTCTCGCTCATAAACTCCTTACCAATTCAGCTGTACACTACATGTGACAGGGTCCTGGACACTCTCCTTTTGAATTGATATGTGGGGTACCTTTAGTCTCGGGTGGGAGACCTTTAATCTGGGTTGATGACACCAACCGGAACTAAAAGGTCACCCTTTAGTCCCGGTTGGTGTTACCAACCCGGACTGGACTAAAGGTTGAAGGACCTTTAGTCCGGATTGGTAACACCAACCGGAACTAAAGGGTGACCTTTTAGTCCCGGTTGGTAACACCAACCAGGACTAAAGGTGGCCTGCTGCGAAAGCGTGCCAGGACAGGGGCCTTTAGTCCCTGTTGATAGCTCCAACCGGGACTAATTCTTCCTTTACTCCTAGACGCAAAAAATACCGAGACTAAAGCCCAAAATCGAAGCGGATGAAAGGTCATTTCTCTACTAGTGCGCCTCGCCAGACCCCCGAGGGCTGGCTCCGCCTCGCCCGACATCCGAGGGTCGGCTCCGCCTCGCCCGTGTAACATCCTAATGGGCCAAAGTGGGCCCAATCCAATCCAGTTGTGGGCCGGTGGTACTGTAGACCGAGCACTGTTCACCCGAAAATGGGCCGTCCAAATTCAGGGTACTGTCCATGGGTTACTGTAGCACCGCGAAAAACATTGCGCAACCAGTTTAGTACCATACTAGAAACTCTGAGATCGCCGGATCGACTTAAATACCAGGGCCAGGAACGCGTAGTAACCTTCGATTAACCGTTTTGAACGAAGCGAGGACGAAAGTTCAAGCGGGTTGCTACGCGGGTCGGACCACTCCTAGGAAGAGTGGGCCGGGGCCATGTATGTCGGGACTGGACGTTACAGCCCGACAAGTACACCCTGCGCCTTCATAATGATGAGCACAGGGTACGACATGACATTCGAGTCAAACGCAGCACCAAGGACCATGCCCTGCACCGCGGCAGGAAAGTACCGCCAGGGTACGACAGGATGGGCGCTTTAGACCATTTCGGGCATGGCAGAGTCTGAATAGTGTTGTAGGTGCCGCCTTCATCCCTCGGACACAGAGCCTGACATAGACATACGACAACCACTACGGTCCAAGAAGAGACTCGCGCTCTCTACAGTGATGAACGTACAGTCACCGGGCTGTTCGCTCCCCACAGCGCTATAGGTCAACACCCTTGTCCGACACGCCGCCCGGAGGGGCGGGACGGGACGTGACTACTTGTAGCTCCAGTAAGGGCATGGCGTCGTCAGCACACAGGCATCCAGCGAACGTGCCAATCCCTGACACCGTCTGGCCATGTGTCAGCGAGGCTGGCTCAGCGGGAAAGGGGGACCTAACACCTTCGGGGGGACTTCTTGGCCTCTGGTTTTTCTCTTTTCTCCGATCTGTAACCCCTGCTCCCCCCTTGGTCTATAAAAGGGAGGGCAGGCCCCCCCACTAAGGGGATCGACTCTTGACAGATAAGTTCAACACACACGACACTTCACACACAGCTGAGCAGCGACCAAGCTCTCGGTGACCTTTTCGACCATTCCATCAGAGACTTGGGACTCGTCCATCTCTTGACCGTTTGTACCCCCTACTATGAACCATTTTTGGTACTAATAATATGAGCAGCAACAGACTAGACGTAGGGACGTTCGGCCTGAACTAGTATAAACCTCGTGTCCTTTAGTACACCATCCAGGCATAACGCGCATCAATTATAATTTAATAGCCGGTATTGTTCAAAACACCGACAGTTGGCACGCCAGGTAGGGGCCTTTGCGCATTCCAAATCAGGCCTCGGATGACTAACCACGCAATCAGCTGGGTCCCGGGCGCACACGTGCGTTCGGTGACCTGGACTTCATCATCACGGTGGGAGGAGAGTTGGCGTTGGCCCATCTCACCATCCAACCTCTCTCCTCCATCGGCTCCGGCTACCGGAGGCTTGAGGGCCACCCAGCGTCTCCCTTGGACCCCAGCCGTCCAAGGAGGCCCCATGCCACCTCACCCTCTCTCCGGAACGCTCCACACGGAGCGCCTCAATGGCGTTTTCATTCGGTCTCCGCAACGCCGCGGCGACCGTAAGCCACTTTGTGGCCCAGCATGCGATCTCATCCCCTGCGAAAACGAGTTCGTGGGAATGATCGAAAGCGTCACAGAATCCCTCCACGACCTCTTCGCGGAAGGCCCAGGGTCGGACTCTGGCCCTAACTCCGGCGGGGGAGCCATCATCCCTCCCGAGAATGCTTCATGGCGGAAACCTCCGAGGGACACGTCGAAAGCGCCTCCGAGAAGGAGGTCACCCCGGCGGGCAACCTCGGCGACGGAGCCGAAGGAAGAATGGAGGCCCCGCCCCACGTAGGGGTGGAGCAGCTAAAAGCCCAAAATGGGAGATCAATGAGGCCGGACACTAGCTTGTTCGGGAATACGCATTGGTGGATCGGGAGATCGAACGCCATGGAGACGGTGGGCACACACGCGTCATAGCCCGCGACGTGAACCGAAGGATCATCGCTGACGATGAAACCCTTCCTCACTTCGCTCGGGCAAGCCAGAACATCGCCGCCGCCACGGCCTTGCTCCATGGCCTTTCGGAGGCCGCAAAGCCCGAGGATCGTCGAGCCCACCACGAAATCCGCACACTGCTCGAGCATGCAGTGGCGCAACAGGCGGAAAGCTCGTTGTCTCGACGACGCGAGCTCGACACCAGCCATCTTACGCCCTCAGTATGTCCCGCCAGGGACACCTCAGTCCACCAAGCACCACAAGGCAGCGGGCAGCGCATTGCGACCTAGATACATTAGCGTCTCGGCCGCGACCATGACACATGCAGTACCATCGACGCCCGCAGGCGCACCCACGGCGACCCAAGGGAAGGAGCCCACCGCAGCGGATGCTACGACAGCGGTGAGGACCAGAGCCCGTGCCCTAGCCTGCCAGGCCCTTAGGCCTTCAGCCGGCACATCCTCAACGCTGCGTTCCCACCAAGGTATCGACCACCTACCAACATCCCTAAGTACTCCGGGGAGACAAACCCCGGGCTTTGGCTTGAAGACTATCGGCTTGCCTGTCAAGCCGGTGGTGCGGATAATGAAGACTTCGTTATCCGCAACCTTCCACAGATCCTCGCCGATTCGGCACGAGCGTGGTTGGAGCACCTTCCGTCCGACGCCATCCAAGGTTGGGCGGACCTAAGGGAGATATTTGTGGGGAACTTCCAGGGCACGTACAAGCGTCCTGGGAACCCCTAGGACCTCAAGAACTATCGCCAGAAGGCCGGCGAAACCCTCCGTGGGTACATCTGGCGCTTCTCCCGATAGTGCAACGAGCTCCATAACGTCACCGACGCTGACGTAATAGGAGCCTTCCTGTCTAGGACAACCTGCGAGTCTTTGGTTCACAAGCTGGGACGCAAGGGCCCACGGACCACCAAAGAGCTCCTAGACATCACCACTAGCCATGCCTCAGGAGAGGAGGCGGTTGGAGCAATCTTCGACCGTTCCGACGGTAAGGCGAGGCGGGACGAGGGCGCCAGCGAAGGCGCCTCCAACCATTCCGCCAAAAGAAAGAATAAGAAGCAACGGCGCGACAACTCACTCATGGTCGCTGCCGACCGCAAGGATGGTCGAAAGCCTACGGAGGGCACTCTGAATCACTTTGAAAAAATACTCAAAGGGCTGTGCCCGAACCACGCCTTTCTCGTAAAACATCTGCTCAAGGACTGTGGCCTCATGCGGAAGTTCTTCGCCGGAAGCGCCAACAAAGGGGAAAAGGGAAGGAACCTACCCCCACTGCCGACGATGCCGAGGAGAAGGACGATGGCTTTCCGACACCGAACGGCTGCCTTGTGATCTTTGGAGGGTCAGCAGCCTATGACTCCAAACTCCTTCAGAGGGTCGCACGCCGTGAAGTCTACACAACCCAACCAGCCACACCTCCCTTTCTCCGGTGGTCGGAGTCCACCATAACCTTCGATCGAACCAACCATCCAGATATCGTCCCCCACCCAGGGAGGTATCCACTTGTCGTCGACCCGATCATCGGCCCAAAGTGGCTCACCAAAGTACTGATGGACGGAGGCAGTGACCTCAACATCATGTACGCTAAGACGCTCGATGAGACAGGCGTCGACCGGACGAAACCTCCGCCCAACCCGAGCACCCTTTCACGGCATTGTGCCCGGAAAATAGTCCATGCCACTAGGACAGATCGATCTGCCCATCACCTTCGGGGATCAGTGCAATTATAGGACCGAGACCCTCACCTTTGAGGTGGTCGGGTTCCCCGGAACCTTCCACGCCATCTTGGGACGACCATGCTACACGAAGTTCATGGCCATCCCCAACTACACATACCTCAAGCTGAAGATGCTGGGCCCCCACGGGGTCATCACCGTCGGCACCTCCTTCCAGTGGGCCTACGAGTGCGAGGTCGAGTGCTGCGGCCACGCCACAGCAATCGTCGCCTCCAGGGAACTCGCCGCCCTCAAGGAGGAGGTCGCCGAAGAAGCGCCTGACACGAAGAAATCAATCGGGTCGTTCGAATTGGCAGAGGGCTCCAAGAAGGTCCTCATAGACCCCAACAGCTCTGAGGGTAAAATGGTACGCATTGGTACCGCGCTATTCTTCTGAATAGGAAAGTGCGCTCATCGACTTCCTCCATAACAACAAAGACATCTTTGCGTGGAAACCCTCGGATATGCCAGGCATCCCGAGGGTGGTCGCCGAGCATACCTTGAAAATCCACCCAGGCTCCAAGACGGTGAAACAACGCCTACGCCGCTTCGACGAGGAAAAACGCAGGGCCATCGGTGAAGAGATAGCAAAACTGTTGGCCGCCGGATTCATCAGGGAAGTACACCACCCAGTGTGGTTAGCAAATCCCGTTCTTGTACGAAAGAAGAGCGAGAAATAGAG